ACCGCCGTGCCCCCAGTTCTGGGATCTGCAGCACCCCACAAGAGACAGTGACGTCTGAAGTCTCTTGGGACTGCAGCTCTAGGCATGATTCAGACAGCAGAAGTGACGCAGGGCATGGTTTGTCGTTAGCTACGGCTTTGCTGAGGGGATTTACCATACCACCGCCGTCAGATGCACACTTCTGTACGACCTAACGCGAGAACAAACGCGTTTTTCAGAGGGACACAGAAGAAGGGACACTGGAGACAATTCATTTGTGTTTATCTGCAATTACTGCAGTTAATGCAGGTACCTTAGAAATGCCTCTAAATATCTGCAGGGTGGGTGTCAGGAGGATGGGGCCAGACTCTTTCCAGTGGTGCCCAGCGACAGGACAAGGGGCAACGGGCACAAACTGAGAGCCTGCTCTGGGTGACCCTGCTTCGGCAGGAGGGTTGGACTAGATGACCCACAGAGGTCCCTTCCAACCCCTACTATTCTGTGATTCTGTGATTCTATGATATCCGCTGCAGGAAGGGAGCTGACAAAAATATCCTCCCCTGATCTCTGTGCACCTGTACCGCTGCACAGGTTTCTTTCGCTCCGAGGCAGCCCTGCCAGCCCACCCCGAGCACCCCGCGTTCTGTGCCTTTTGCTGTGTAGGTCGGCAAGCCGGTTTCTCTGCAGCAAGACAGATTTACAGCAGGTTCACCAACACTGCACAACACGCTGCCACGAGGCGACAGTAACGTTATGCTTCTCCACCGAAAAACTGATGTTATCTTTATCCGCTGACAAACCCGGCTACAAGTTTACACACACCAGTCAGTAAATAAAATGGAAACAGAGTTGAAAGGTGACGCAGGAAAAGAAAAGGTCAGGAACCGGTGAACACCACCAACCTCAGCATAGAGCGTAAAGTAGCCCTCCACGCCATCTTGCCCCGTGATCACTCCGTGGCGGCGATTAATTCCAGCTATCACCACGCCTTGGAACTCCGTGGGCGCCATCACCTCCACCGCCATAATGGGTTCCAGTATACGCACAGTGGCGTTTTCCATAGCTGGAGAAAAAAAAACTTCACTAAATAATCAAACATCAAAGAACAAGCTTGGCAGAATTCAAGATACCCCTACACATAGCAAAGAAGTGTTTTATGGTTAATGCTAAGTGTTTCTTATGTCAGTGGGGCAAAACAATGATGGACTACGTGGAAGTCCAGCTCCCCTGCCTTCTACTCCCGAGACTGCAACGCCGGGAGGCACACGGTTTGATAAAATGTTCTTTTCCTACCTGTGCAAGGATGAAGCTGTTGGTGTTTCTTTACTCTGCTCTAGGAAACAGGATTTCCTTCACACAACTAAGGGAATTATTGTGCCTCCCCCCAAAATGTCTATAAACTTTTGCACATATTCTGCTCTACACAACCAGCCAAAATTTAAATGCATCTACAGATACTCCAGGCAACGAATGAACCTACAGAAATGAGGTTGCTAAATTAAGCTCCAACAATAACGAAGGCAGCAGGAGCATGCGTTTGAACGACGAGCTCTGTACCTTGCTTTAGGGCTCCTTCTCCCGCTCTGATGAAGGCGATTTCATTGGAGTCCACCATGTGATGTGCCCCATCATCCAGGACGAACCGGACCCCCGATATTCTGTGCCCTGACACCAGACCTTTTTCACAGGCTTCTCGGAACCCCTATCAAGTAATGTCTCAGAGTTAGCAGGCTTTAGACCTAAATGCAGCTTAAAAGAAGAGCAGCATTAATGACAGCCTATAAAAGACATTAACCTTAAAAAACGAAAATGATAACAAAACCCCCCACCTTCCACAGTCTTTAACAGCAATCCCGTACCTACCCTATGGACCTTTTTGATAACACAGTGGGAGAAAGTAACAGCGGGGAAAACTTTTTGTTCCCAAGCATCTTAAAACTTCGTACTATAGTTCCTCGGCACCACAGTTTGATACCGGTATTTTTTAAAAACAGAAATCATGTAACAAACAAAGGACAAGAAAAAGAAAGGTAGTCAGGATTTTGCTTCGTTAAGAGACTGTATGATCAAAACCCAACAGAATGCTCTTACGTGGAAAGCGCTGCTCTAACCGCGTGACTGAAGAACAGGATTCTCTCATGTATGCATGCTTTTTCCAGGGTTTGGCAAAATTAATTTAAGTGCTGCGTCATGGAATAATGAAGAAATTGTTTCAGGCTGACCCATTATTACAGGAATTCAAAGATCAGGGTAGGAACTACTTCAAGCAGTATGAGATAAATTATGCAGTTACAGAGAGCCAGACCAGGGAAGCCCGCAGAAGAGATGAAAAAGCAAGAATATTTGGTAGTTCCTGCAGGACATCTAGCTTAATAACAGTTTCCTACATAACTGGCCTCAGAGCAGACACAAAAAGTCACATATCTCCGGGTTAGGGATGAGAATTGCGTGGCCACAATCCAAAGCAGCAGAGGGCCGTTAAGGAGCAGACTGACGAGGACGTGGCTTGTTTGTCTGCAAGAAAGGAAAGGCAACCTCCCGCACTGGAGTGGAAATAGAGCCAGCGCTCACCACCGACGACAACAAACAGCAACTTCTAAACTCAGTGGAAAACTTTGGAATGTAAGAGATTACACAAAGCCACACAAATTAGATTCTGCTTCCACTGAAGTAATGGCCAAAGCCCGCTTGCCTGGCGCGAGACAGCCACAGTGAGGAAACCACTGGGATCGAGTGTTTCTGGTACCACGCGCACAGACAAACCGCTTTTTACCTTTTCAACAGCGGGCACGAACTGTTTCGGAATGTTGGTGCCAATGGTTCTGTCTTCAAATTCTAGTTTTGTGTAGTCCTCGGGATCCAAGGGCTCAAGCACGCCGATGACTTTGCCATACTGGCCTGCTCCGCCCGTCTGCTTCTTGTGTGTGTACTCAAACCTAAGAACAAACACATTCCCCCAGAACGCCACGTTACTCATTACGCAGACCATGCTCTAACCACCGTTTTCTAAGCAAAGAAGTTCCCATGCTACTTTATTCCATCTGGCTATGTGCAACCAAACTGGCTAAAGGCCAGAAGAGCAGCTGAAGCACCAGCCCAGGATACTGAACACCCGAAGACGGAGCACCACGGATCCCACAAGTAGGAAGCTCAGAGGCTGTGATGGGTCTAATGCCTCAAAAAACAACTGCAAAACCAAGCTGCTTCTGTCTGCCACAGGCAACGCTAATAAAGCCTACTCACCTTTTGGCTTCTGCTTTTTGTTGACTGAATAGCAGTGATATTTTTGTGGTTTCTGCACATACCCACAGTTTCCACCCACAAAGTACTTTGATGTTAAGGGCAGACACCAACAAGGAAATAAAGAGGGGGGAAAAACTTGTGAATATGAACTGTTAAATATTTTAAGTGAAACTGGAGGGATCATGGCATGGTTTGGGTTGGAAGGGCCCTTCAGTGGCCGTTTAGTCCAACCTCCCGCCACAAGCTGGGACATCTTCACTACCCACAGTTTCCACCCACAAAGTACTTTGATGTTAAGGGCAGACACCAACAAGGAAATAAAGAGGGGGGAAAAACTTGTGAATATGAACTGTTAAATATTTTAAGTGAAACTGGAGGGATCATGGCATGGTTTGGGTTGGAAGGGCCCTTCAGTGGCCGTTTAGTCCAACCTCCCGCCACAAGCTGGGACATCTTCACCTGAATCAGGTTGCTCAGAGCCCCATCCAGCCTGGCCTTCAATGTTTCCAGGGATGGGGCATCGACCACCTCTCTGGGAAACCTGTGCCAGGGTTTCACCACTCTCACAGTAAAAAATTTCTTCTTTATATCCAAGTCTAAATCTCCCCTCTTTTAGTTTAAAACCAAACCAAACTGAGGGGGAAAGCCAACAAGGCAGACATCCTGCTGGGGGTCTGTTACAGACCACCCAACAAGGATGAAGA